TTAAGTGACTATAATAAACTACTGTATTAAACTACCACACCTGTAAATGCCACAGAGAAAAAATTATGTTCAACACAAATGTCATTTAGGTTAGCATTATTAACTAAATGTTTAAAGTGTTACAAATGAGGGGCTGGGGATTTAGCTCAGCGGCAAAAGCGCTTGCCTGGCAAGTGCAAGGTCGTGAGTTCGGTTCCTGGTACCGGAGAAAAACCAAAAAAAAAAACTAAAAATAAATAAATAAATAAATAAATAAAGTGTTACAAATGTAAAGGAATCAAAATTCTACTAGACTGCCTGGTTTTTCTACTTGTACTTTGAGAAGGTAAAGGGTGAGATTTTTTTAAAGAAATAGGTCAGAATGAACTCAAACAAAATCTTATTTAAGAGCAGACAGGCTTCCTGCATCCACTGTTAACACCCTTTAATTTATTCTTCATACTATAATTACAATGATCTTTTAAAATTCAAAAGCTACATTACTCCTTTTCAGTGACTTCCCACCTTTTAGGATAAAGACCAAAGCCTTTCATTTTATTTACAAGCCCTTAAATGACTTCACTGATAACCAGCTTTCTATTCTTGTATCTTTCCAAATTCCTTGTTGATCTTTGAACTCCAATTACAGCAATTTCTTAGTTCTGTGGCTATACCACAAGGGCTTTGAGCACGGAATACTCTCTGTACTGCCCTCACTTATGTCTTCACACAAGTCACTTCCTCAGAAAAGCCTTCCTCATATAGCTAGGTTGAGCACCTTATCTATATCTTTTTCCCTACAATTTTCCTTTTTCTACTAAATAGATAATAACTGAATGGTTATATGATTGGCCAATATCTATTTATATTTACAGCTATTTATAGTTATAGCCAATAAACATTTATATCATTGCCCAGTATCTAATATTTTTATGATTAGTCTATATTATAAATATTGAAATTTAAATATAAAATCATAAATTTAATGTTACCTTATTGATATTGATACTAATTATATTCATAACTGATCTATAATTGTGTTGTAATTATAATTAAAAATATTAACACTAAACTATAAATCCTTAAAACTTCACAAAGACAAATCACCTCTTTTCTACTCATCTTTGAATTTCCAGCGTCTATACCAGGATACATTGTTTTTCAGTCTTCTTAGGCTGCTATTTTATAGACTGAGGAACCTAAACATCAGAAATTTATTTTCTCACTGTTCTAGAGGTTGAAAAGACCAAGATCAGCATGCTAGCATATTTGGATTGTGTTGAAGGATATACTTCTACCTTGCAGACAGCCACCTTGTGTGTTCTCCCATGGTCTTTCTCTTTTTCTTCATCTTTTTATAAGGCTACACTCCTACTGGATTACAGCCTCATCCTTGTGACTCATTTAACCTTAGTTACCTCCTCAAATCCTTGTCTCTAGAGATAGTTACATTGTAGCTTCAACATAAGCATTTCGGGGACACACAATTCAGTCCATAGCATGTCATAATACTATGAATAAATATATGTTGACTCTAAAGAAATGAGAAGATGAAATGTTAAAAAAATATAATAAACAATGAAATATTTATGTCAGTATTATGGTCATGGCATGAAAGATACCATCAGAATAATAAATCCCAAGAGAAAATGAGCAAATTATCTAAAAAAATGTGAAGGAGGAATATGATACTATAATCAATTTAACATTCACTGATCATATTCATGCCAGCCACGGCACTGGCAAAGGTGTTGTAAAGATGAAACACTTTACAGCCTGGTGATGGAAAAAAAAAAAAAAAGTCATAATCCACAATTAAAGTGCTTTAAGAGGTATGCCTAAATTCTCAGTTTTGTGACCTACTTGAATTTGGTACCTGCCCTTACAACTTTCACTACAATGAACTTTGACCAATGATCTCTGTGATAAAATTAATACACATTTATAACTCTCACTCAGAGTTGTCACATGTAGCTGTATAGTTTGCCACCTATTTATAAATGCAAGGGGCATCTTTCACACGCTAGCATCTTCTAGAATACTGCAGTGCACTTCACACTGAGGACAGTGGCTGGACTTCTAGCTCTCCCTACAACACTCAGCACTAATAACCAATCCTTTTTTCTACAAGATGTTCATTGACTGATTTCCCTAACATTGTGTAGTAATTTTCAGTGTTTGAGTTCATTTCTTTTTTCTCCTTTGCAGTCCTCTTTTTCTCTCTACCCTGTAAATGTTCACAGGCCCTCTTTCCTCACTCCATTCACACACTGCACGGTGAGCTCATCTACTCTCACAGTGTCACTCATTAGTTACTTGGCTGACTCCCAAATTTACACTTTTAGTTCAGATCTTTGTTCAGATTCTTCTGAATCCCATATACACAGAACCAGCAGCCTTCTTAAATATTTAAATGTTTATTGGCCATGTAAACTTGGCATATTCAAGCTGTAACAAAACTAAAATTGAGGATACCATTCCCTATCACAGATTGCATAAATGGAGATGATTTCCGCTATTTTACTTTGACTATTTGTAGGAGTTATGTTATTATTTTGCTTTTCATTCTTCCTCACATTTCATGAAGCTCATCCCTGAAGGGAGGGTGGAAGTACTCTTTTCTCTCTGAAGATGGTACAGATATCTCAAAATCTTATTCTGAATTCCTTGTCTTCAGGGAAATGGAAAGTAATTTCCAGTAATTGGAAAACTAAAGCTCAGATGTCCCAGATTCCTTTACAGCTCAATTTCTACACATTCTCTAGTTTCCACAAAGCTGATAAACAGTCAATATTACAGAAGCAGAAGTAATGACTGTAAATGTGCTATTTCTTGTAACAAGAAAGTGAATATATATATATATATATAAATAAAACCTCTGTATATAAACACACACATGTGTGCATGCACACACACAACCTCTTCTGGGAGGCCTACCATGACAGGCCCAGGTAGTAGTTTGCTTGTATTCCTGTTATAGTACTCATCAAATCAGGCTACACTCACTGGTTTGTCTATTTTCAGCTAGTTTAAATCTCCTAGAGGAAGACATTTTTTTTAATTGTGTTTTGCTCTATTCCGCTGCCCATCTCAATATATCCTACAGCAGTGCTTGAACTGTTCTTGTTCATTAAGTACTTAATGAATAAACGAGTGATATTATCAGAGACTAATCCATTATAATAGCAAAGTAATTTAATTAAGCATGGGTGAGATAAAAGTCAAAGCAAGTAATTTTAAAACATTGAGCGTGTCTCTTAACCACTTCTGAGTTCAATTAAATATAGGATAACCAAAAACTGCATAATTTTTTCATTAATTTTTATAATAGATATATGTAAATGACAATTGTATCAAATTTATTCATTAATTTTTCTGTGTAAGGTATATCTTAAAACATTTAGTACACAAAACAGTGGTACAATCTGGACAGTAGTTTCTAATCTCTTTCCAAATTCTCTGAATTATCGTCTTCTAGAACAACACACCGTACAGTGCCATGTTGGCCATTTTTTCTGTGGGTGGTATAATTTCAATAAAATGCCTACCCACTAAACATAACGGTGAAGATGTCAATGATGGGCGGTCTGGTTGACATTTCACTATCTCATACTTTTCAATTACTAGGTCTATTAGACCCACTCTAAATTGTAAGTGACTTTTTAAACACCCTTCTTTTGAATAAATAACAAATGAGTTCCATATCGTTCATTCCAGAAGGTACATAAATATTTTATAACATTTTTCCTTACTTCTAGATTACAGGATAGCTTGTTAGAATTGGTCAACACCACCCATAGAATTCTTATAATCAATGACAACTACTGGAATTTTTTTAGTTTTGTTTCTTCTTTCAAGTTCTATCACTTCTGTATTATGAATAGTTGACAAAAGCAGATGTCTTTCCTGTCTTTCCATTTTATAACACAAACTCTTCCTCTCTGATATGCTAATATGTTTCCCTTTTTCCATTTTTTGTTTTGTATATCTTTGGGTACTTCTTTCCTATTCAGTCTCAGTGTCCCAAACATGTCCATTTTGTACTGTAAAAGAATATCACTAAGATCTAGAGAAATATAAAATTATATCTAATGTACTTATGATAAGAGTTTTTATAGATTGTAGCACAAAATTATAGATTATTTTTCACAAATACAAATTAGTGAAATAAAATAATCAGAAATAACCAGATTTCACTAGAAACAAATATCAAAGGTGAATAAAATGCTCTAAATTAAGAAGTATGCAAAAAAGTCAACATGAAACAAATAAACCAGTGTATCTCTAGCAAACAAGAGCCAAATGGTTGAATGACAGCTGCCCAGGCAACACCTGGGATACTTAGTATGTAAATACCCAACGTGTGTAATGCTGGGGATAAACTGTTAAGCAGTTAAAGTAGGGAAGGAAAATATGATAGGTTATTACAGTCATGTTCTGTTGCATTTAGAATTTCCTAAAAAGTCCACTAATTACTTCCTAGTTTTTAGCTCTTTGATACCACCTCTTCAAAATCATTTTAGAGAAGTTGTGAGATTTTTTGGTTTTAAGAACATTTATTCTTATCAGGATGACCAATCAAATGCTTTTAAAATTACTCATGTTTTTATGGGTTATTTTTATATTATACATGAATTTTACCTCCTAGGCTACTACTGAATTGAAACAAAAACTGTATAATAGATTTTCAATTTCTTACCAGGTTCCTAATGTAACTGTGTGATGATCACTAAGATTCACTCATGGTAGAGGTTAAAAACCAAAGACTACTGTCTTCAATTCATGTTTATGATATTGCATTTAAACCACTAAGGGCAAGTTAATATTAACAGTTAATGCTAAAATTAATTTTAACTGTGGAAGATGAAGGGTGGTTTTTGCCTTTTGAAACCATATTGTACTGTTTTCACTGGGTCAGACAAGGTGAAAGCTTAGTCAGGTGTGGTGAAGTATGTACAGGGTTGGGTATGCCCACAGCACTCACATATTACAACACTGAGTACTAAGTCAGCAATACTCACCTTAATTTCTTGGTTCTCACTATAATTCATTAAGTAATCAGAATTTGCTATACATTTTCTACATTTCCAACAACGAAGAATAGTTATTTTCTCTTCATTATGATTTTCAGTTATCAATTCTTCACTTCTTTTCATCTGTGGGAACATTAATAGGTTATTAAAATGTCAAATAAACTCAATTTCCTAGTCCTTAATAGGGCAATAGCTACAAGTTAAGTAGGAAAGAGCTATCATCTGTTGTGGTGCTCCAGGCTCCACCAAAATCATAAAGTGCCTTGACTGCTCTGACACAGTCACCTCCCAGTAGGCTTAAATCCAAGCAGAGAACTTGGACACTCCCAAGCATAGATAAAGGTATTTAGATTGTTGCCAAAATACTGAAAAAACTGGCCCTAGCCTTGAGCCAAAATTCCATAAGCCCTTGTTGTAGTCAGGGAATAGACTTAATACAGGATACACAATTTACAGGATTATTTCATATTAACCCACAAAGTCAAATGCAGAAGAGTGCCAGAAATCTGTTCACACAGTAGAGATGCAAAGAATCTAGCTGAGTGCCTGGATCCCACAGCAATGTTCTGCGTGAGTCCAGCGGGAGGCCTAGAGCTCACAACAATGATTCATGCAAGTCTGTAACAAGGATCTGCACTGGGAAGGCGCAAAGGCCAGTGGTGGAAGTTAGAAAGTCTTTGCCAGCAAGATGAAGGATCTGTGCCAGAAAAGTGAGGGATCTGCACTGAAGCCAGAAAGCGATGCTCAAAGTGAGCACCAGAGCTTCCCCAAAGAAAACAAGCCATCCACAGTGACAGCGAGGACCCGAGCTCCTAGGATGATTAAAACAGCTGAGTAAAAGCCAGTGTGACAAGCTTCTCTGGGAGAATCAATAGAACACCATCTTCCTCTCCAGTTCTGCTTTTACGCTATTGGCAACAATCCTCATGTGGGCCATGCATACCCAAAACCATGCTCACTCACTTCAGCCGGGTGTTACAGGATTAACAGGTTGTTAATCCACCACAGCCCTCATAAATTGATCTCACTGCAGATATAACTAGGTAGACTATCCCTTTTCTTTTGTTCTCTATGGTGAGGATAAGCTGCAGCTCCTATAAATTTCCCTACCACATCCTTTAGATTTATCACCTTGCAGTGAATGTTTCTTTTTTTGCAATCCCAACTGGCCCTATCTCTGAATATTCTCTTGTGGGAACTTTTCTGTGATTTTAGAGTGACTCCAACACCATGTTTGGTGAGACAGAACAGGTACCTACTAGTTACCAGGTCTAAGGCTAGAGGCACTCTATAAATATGTCAGAGATGGAAAATTCCATTTAATTATGATGATGATGCACCATATTAGTGACTGCCAGATTATTTTTTTATAAAACATTTCATGTGTATTGTTTTCCACTGATAAAAAGCAACTGCTGAAGAGTCAGTTCAAGAAGTTGCTATAGTAACTTTAAGTCATGACAAAGAAATATAAATAATCATATAAGATATAATGGCTACAGCAATAAATCTTAAATAAAAAATGAATTGATTTTTAAGTTAAATGTTTGGAAATTAGAAGTGCTCACTTTATGTTATGTTATGGCAGAAATTCTTGTCTTAATGCAGTAATTTCTCCTTCATATTGCACTCAGTGAAATAGTTCATAACATCTTCTGATGTATATGGTCAAACAGTAAAACAAAAAATACTCCCACCAATTTTATAATTTATTTTTATACATGAGATTTTATGTCAATACTTTGATTTAGAGGAATTTGGGATAAGTCTCATACTATACTATATGTAAGGTTTCCAAAATACGGTGTATTTATTTATTTATTTATATTTTATGGAAAAAGTGAAATAACATTTCCTTAAAAATAGGCAAATAAAAATAGTTAATACACTGGGTACAGTTATCTTTAAAGTAGTTACTCAGAGTACAAGATATGGGCAAAAAAAATTCTTTACATGATATTACACAAGCCTTTCTTTTCAATGAACTAAGAGAAACTAGCAGTATAAATGTCTTGTATTTTGGGTTTTTTCCTTTTCCCTTCCTTCCTTTCCCTTTTCCCTCACCCTAGTCCTCTTTCCTTTTGAGCAATTTCTTCCCATTTCACAATATCTACTGTGTATTTTAGACCTCATCTACCCTTTCAGTTTTTCAGACCAGGAAGACAACATAATGTTTACATATGTGAATCTGATTTATTTCACTTCTAAGTATGTTCTTCAGTTGCATCCATTTACCTATAAAAGTCTCAAGTTTATCCTTTATAGTGGAGTGATACTCCATTGTATGAAAATATCACACCTTTTTATCCATTCCTTGGTTGATGAGTATTTGGGTTGTTTCCAAGATTTAGCTATTACAAACGGTGCACACATATATTGTTGTGGTATGATGTTTTTAATGGAAAAATACTTAGAAGGGGAATAGCTGGGTTGAATGGGACCCCTAATCCTAGTTTTTGAGGAATCTCCACACTGATTTGCATAGTGGTTGTACCAGTCTACACTCCCACCAACAGTGAAGAAAGATTCCTTTTTCTCCACAACCTCAATAATCATTAAAAATCTTAATCAGCAAAAGCCTTACTGTCTTCTTTCCTTATTGTGAAAGCACTCACCCTTCTTACTTCTTTAGCACTCCTCTTACCTCTCCACCCAGTTCTTAGCCTCTTTTATCCTCATCTTTCTGTTAATCAGGAGTTCTCAGAAAAGAATGGACACTGCAGGGAGGAGTCTTATCAGAATCAAATACGGTGAAACTCCATATCTGCCTGTGTCCCCCAATCCCAAGATACCTAACCCCTTGTCAAGATTCTTCCATGTCCTTGTAGGATGCAACTATGTAAAAGAAAAGGCCCTATAAGTGATTCTATAAATTAGCACTGAAAATCATTAAAAACTGTACTCTCTGTGTGACAATTCTTCCATATCAATGATTTTTAAATCTACATATCTAGTTATCTTATTCTAAAAATGTAGACCATTAATTTCAACTTCCAGTTGCCAAATGCACATCTCTACGTGAATCTCCTTCACAGCCTTTGTACTGGCTGTTCATTTAGTATAGATTTGTGCAAATCTATAGGTGGCCACTAGCCAGACACGAATATTAAGTGCCTGGAATGTAGTTAATCAAAATAGAAAATGTATAGTTAATATAAAATATGCACTGTATTTTGAAGACTTAGTAGCAAAAGATAAGGCAAAATGGCTTCATAATTTTTATTAACTAGTCAATTTTATTAACTAAATGTTGTAGTGATTTTCAGTATCATACTAAAATATAAAATTAATTGTACTTCTTTCTTTTTATTTCCACTTGGAAAAACACCATTGTAGACCTCCTTATCCAGGTCTTTGTCTAGTTGATTTATTTCTCACCATTGAGATCTTAGCTCAATGTCACTCCCTCAAAGATATGGTCTAAGGAGCATCTGGAGAATGTATTTAAGTGCAGACACTGAGACACAATCCAAAGGATTCCAAGTCAATGTTTCTAGTGTAACATTCAGTATATCAAACAAGCATACTAGGTGATTCTGATACAGGTGATCTGATAACTACAGGTTGAAGGACACCAATTTTCAGAACATAATCTAAACTCCTGTATCAAAAAATGTCCTTCAGGTAGTATGAGAAATCTCTGTGATAAAATTGTTCTCTATTTGTAATAATGGTCATACAAATCCATGCTAGTGGTAAAATTACATAGAATTAAATACACATGGCAGGCATGGTAGTGCACGCTTGTAATCCCAGCCCTTAGAAGGCTGAGGTAAGAGGACTGCTTTGAGTTCCAGGCCAGCCTGTACTACATACTGAGTTCAAAGGCAGCCTGAACTACATAATGAGAGTCTATCTTAAAAAAAAAAAAACCAAAAAACTAAATACACAAATGAGTATGTGTAAATGATGAGATCCAAACAGAGAAGATGATTTGAAGTGCACACAGGATTTCTTTGTGAATTTACAACTCATAATTCATATTGACTCTAAAATTATCTCAAAAAGTTAAAAACTTACATCAAAAATTCAGAATCATAAAGTCATAATATTTTTACCAATTATCCCAACACATACTTGTATAACTGTGTCTTACTTTTTTCCTATGTTTTTGGTTGCATGTACCTTTTTTCTTTAATTTTCTCATTAGTACATGTTCGCAGTACATAATGAATACATCCTTGTGGGGAGTTGGCACATGTATATACCACATCTTAATTCTTTTTTCATCTTTTTTCCCTCCTCCCCTCCCCATCTCTTGGGCTCTTTCCCTTCTGCAAAAGATCTGCCTATTTTATTATCTATTTTTTATTTTACTCTTTATTTATATTTTAGCTTTCTCATATAAAAGAAACTATGTTATATATAAATTCACATGTACAATTTATTTCACTTAACCTTTTGATCCCAAAGTACATCCATTTTCCTACAAATGACTTAAAGAGTGAGAATCAAGTTTCCTTTTACCAGTACTCTCCAAGGAAAATACAATTACTCTCATCTGTGTTCTCACAGTACTTTACACACATTTCCACAGTAATACTAGTCATACTGTATTATACTTACTCTTGGGTATATTTAACTAATCGATTTACTTGTGAACTCTTAAAATAACTATACTCTATTCACTCTGTATTTTTATAATTAAACAGTACCTGGCATCAGAAAAGAACCTGATTTTATTTACTAAAATCAAATGAATAAAATATACCAGAGAACTCAACTTACACAATCTCTTTACCAGTACTGTGCTAATTATGTGTAGCCAATTAGTTTGATGAACCAATAGGAGTCCTTCTGCAATAGACAAGAGGAGCCTATTGAGAAAAACATATCCACTTTTATACATATCTAAGCATAAGTGAGAACTGAGGCTACCCAATAATTTTCTAATTATATGAGAACTGAGATGGCTCCTATCAAAGAACTTGTGCCAAAACACAGTCAAACATGGTAACTCAACCTATTAACAAAGTACTAGTCTTTAAAGAGATCTGAACAGCACATGTGCTGTTAGCAAGCTAAATTCCATCCCCAACTCAGCACCTTATACACTAATATTGCTTTTAGGCAAAGAAGGAAATATATAAGTAAACAAATGAAACTATTTTCTAAACTCAGTG